CCCGACAAGTGGTGCGCGATGGGGACAGTAAACTCGCCGCAGACTCCCAGCTTGAACCTTGGCAACCTCAAGACGCCACTGACGGGCTGCACAAAAAGCCGCTCCGTGTGCAGCTTGACGGCCTCGGGAAGCAGCCTGTTGACCATAATCCTCATCTTCTCTTTCGTGAGAACATCCTGCCGCCGGCACAAAACCCTGCCCCCAGTGAAATCCGATCGTACGTCTCCCCGCACCGTGCAGTACTTCCTTGTGTCCTTCAGATCCTCCGCAAACACTTTAATCCGGATCGGCGCCCAGTCAGGGGTGGACACGGTGTACGCCTGCCATGCGCCTGCTCTTCCCCGTGGGAGCTCCTGCACCACGGCGGTCTGCAGCTGGGACAAATTCAAGGCAACCTTGTCAAAGATGCAGCGGTGCTCCGCGAGGGCGCAGGGGCCACCGGCGAGCCAAAGGAGAAAAAGCAGCACGGTGGACACAAATCGACGCATGTCTCTGTTACTCGTTTATTCCAGCCTTGGACGTGTTCTTCTTTTCTGCGTCACCTGCGCGAGAGAAGGCGGGAGAGGAGAGTGTGCAGTAAGTGTGAGGGAGAAGCGGGGAGTACCGAGAGAGCAAGAGAAGAGGAGGCAGCCAGAGCCGCCCTCGGTGACGCTCGTCACAGACACAGCAGGGAGGTGTAAGCATGTAACAAAGAAACAAGAAAGACGGAGGCGCGGTCGGAGCGGATTCTTGTTGTGCCTTTCCTCCTCCTCTCAGTCCCCGTTACGCCGCCCCTTTCATCCATTTTTTCTTCTTTTTGATTGACGTCAGCGACCCACGGGCGAAGGGTGAGAGATTATGTGTCTTTGTTGTTGCTGTGGTGGCGGTAGCAGCGGCATAAAAATCCACGCACCGCCCTTATTCCCCTTTTCTTTTGGAATAAAACGCAAATTTCTTCGTTATGTTCCCAAAGACACTTCTGCGTGTTTGTGGGAGAGAGAGTGCCTTCGTCATTCGCTGTGACTACCCACGCATCTGCACGTGGTACTGCAGGGAAATTACTGCGACCAATATCTGCTCTGCATGCATCCGCTGTCGTTTTGCTCCATGCAGGGTTTTGTCCAACTGTGCTGCTGTGTTCTCCGCTTCCCTTCTCGTGCCGTCTTCTGCAACCCTGCTCAGAGATAGAAAGGAAAAGCAAAGAAAAGGGACGGAAAATGTGCGCCGGCAAAATCCGCTGGAGCAATGAAGAAACAGGCCACACCGCACCTAGTGGGAAATCTGCGATAGCCTGATGGCGTGGGCAATCTGTTCCTCTTCTGTCATCTCCCCAATGGGTTTGGAGAGGGGCACCATGTCCTGTTGCAGTTGAGCCCTCAGACGCACGTAGAAGTTGTTCGTCCGTGACTCCTTGCCATTCGGTGGACGAATCCCATCCAGCGGCTTCAGTGCAAGAGCCCGACAAAATTCATTGCATTCATGCCGCAATACATACTTTTCGATGCCCTCGTGCCCCATGTTGCCCAGACCCAGCCCTTTGCCGTCTTCGGTATGGATTTGTGGGTCCGTGAAGAGATCATTGACGCCCTGAAGGTCACACAACAACATGGAGCCGCCGCTCTCGGCAAGAGTGAAGTGAGAAAAGGCTTCTGCAATAAGAAACATGCGTGTCCGCTGTTGAATCTGTGAAGGTGTTTTAAAGTGCTTGTCGCCCTCGTAAGTCTCGCCAAAGTTGCTGTTGTACTTTGTAAAATGGCCATGCAGCCTGGGCTCCATGACGAACATGACCTCCCTCGTGTCGGTTGTCTTGTAGGAGAAAAAACCATGCTGCGCATCTCGATGCTCCGCCGGAATGTTTTGCTTCGGGATTCGCAGCACTTGGCACTGCAAGAAGGAAACATGTGGCCTCTCGATGCCTGTAAATGTGGCTTTATTAAAATTATTTGCAAACTGCTCACACATGCACTGCGCTTCCCCTTCACTGAAGTAGTCCTTTTCAACCACGTCGGATATATTTCTTAGAAAAAGCTTCGCAACGCATGGGGTCCTGCTACCGTCCTCCTCCACCTCCTCCACATCATAGCAGACACGCATGCCACCCTTGGCGGCTGCCTTCAGTGGCGTCAAAACCCTCACGTTGGTACTTGTCGCCACCCACTCCATCCGCCGAAAGCTAAACACATACTTTACGGCTCCACAGATGCAGGGGCTGTTATCCTTTCTAGCGCCCACTAGCCTTTCGGGCATCCTGGCTATCATCAATGCCGCACCAGCCCTTTTTCGCCTCCCTTCAAAACGCCCGGTTCCAAAAGTGAGTGGCTCTGCGCCTCACGGCACACACACACAAAACCTCTACGAAAGTCCAGTGAGGCATTACACACAAAAGTAGACAGAAAGGAACAAAGGCATCCACACACACACACACACACACATAAAAAAAAAGCAACAAACCCCACCACTGAACCCCATGGATATCAAACCGGTCGGAAATACAACAGAAAACAAAAAGAAACACACCGTTCACCAACTCCAGACAAAAAACCGCAAAAAAAAAGTAAACAAAATAAATAAATAGAAAACAGCATCATCCGTAAATAGAAAAGGGAAAAGAGCATAATCCTCTGGGCCGCTGGCCGGATCCTGAAATTATCTCTATAGAAACCAAACAAGATAGGAGGGAAAAAGGAATGTAAAGCAGAAGCAGTTAATTGCCTAAATGTTGTTTTCTTCTAATTCAATACATATGAATTCGTTTGACCGCTCACTTGAACTTTCGTACTCAGCTAGGATCTGAGAATATATTTATTTATTAACTACGAGGTGGCAGACTTTGGGGTCCTGCAGCCACAACACCCCGCTGCGTGGCGGGTATCAAAAATGGGCGGGTGGGAAGGTAAAATAAAAATAAAAAATTATCCGGCCGCTGCCGGCTCCCTAAAGCCATTAAAGTCGCGGCGTTCCCAAAAATCACAAGACAGAAAGGTGTCGTAAAGAAGTGTTTATTATTTTTTGCAGAATATACACATATACATTAAATTACGGTTCGCAACCTCTCCTCCCAATCATTCTTCTCACACCCTCCTAGACAATAAAAATTACTCGCTAGCAAATTATAAAAATATATATATATTTTTTGAGAAATACTCATTTTCTTCTGCGGGCTTCAAGGCTCCTTGTAAAGCGTGAGGAAAACGGAAAACGCCTCATATTTCTCGATTGCTGATAAACGTAGTCCATTGCAACAATCCGTTCAAGTTCGGGTGGGAGGCGAAGCTCCTCGTCGCTCATTGCTTCCCCGGGATCGCATGAACAGCGTGTACACACACCCAGATACTTCAGGTGGTCCTCAACTTTAATGGGAAGAACACTGCCACTGCAATTGGGGTCCTCCTTGGTGGTCAAAGCAGAACACGGTGTGCCAAAGACATCATTGCAGTTCTTGTGCACCGTGTCCCCGTCATTGTCGTACCATACCTCATTGGGGAGGTGTAAATACCCAACGAACATGGGGGGAACGTGGGGCACAGGATCCCGCTTATGCGTCACGCGGTACGACTCATGGCCGCCGCGGCAAAACGATGCAAGAAGCCAGTTGATGAATGCCTCGTTTCCCACGCGCGGCTGCCCAAACGTGTACAGCAAAACCTTCAGTGCACTGGGGAACAACGAATTCTGCGACATAAAATTGGCAGCAGCGAGTGTAGCCATGGCGCCGCCAAGGCTGTGTCCAGTGATGAGAATTCCCTCGATTCCTTTCCCCGCAACAAGTTCCTGTAGGTACCCCCACATCTCCGTCCACAATGACTTCAATTCGCAATTGAAGCCGGCGTGAACAAGACACCCAACGCAGCCATCGTGTGTGTACGGAGCAAAAATAAAATCCAGATTGTGTAGCCAATTAGTAACATCCCTTGTCCCGCGAAAACTTACCACAATCATGCTCTCGTTGACGCCCACAAACGCCTGCGTGCTGTGCTCGGCATTCGTAAATACACGCACCCTTTGCAATCCCGGGTTCCTGGCGCAGGAGGCACAAGTCCAGCCGGAAATGGCTTCGGCCTTGCAGTACGCTGCCTTCGCATAGTACAGTGCCGTCGTTGCCAACTGCACCGAGTAGTCGGCGCGGACATCCTCCCCGCAGAGAAGGATGAGGAGGACGACCACGACAGTCATGGTGCGGCGGCGGCGCATTGCCTCGGTTGTTGCCTGTGAAATGCCTTGGAGACTAGTGGGGCAGTCGGAGGGGAGAGAAGAGGGTGGGGGTGATGGGCTGGTGGGCAGAGAGGACGTGGGAAGGCACAGCAGCAGCAGCAGCGGGGATGTATTGTGACGCACCGTTAAAAAATGGGTGCTTTATATTGCAAAGCGTTTGGATTTTTCATGTGGCACAAAAAAGTTAAAAGTAAAGCAGCAACTGTTTTTTTTTTTACGTGAATCTCCTTTTCTCCCGGTGGATGCGATCGCAGCAAGTAGTCCGGACTCCGCTAAGCAGTTCTGTCCATAAATAAGTGCTTCCTCGGTTCCGTGGGGCCATTCCGATCACTACGTCAGAGTTTTTCGTATACCTGGGAAGCAGGATAAAAGAAACAACAACAACCAAAAAAAACATTTTCCTTCAATGTATATTATTATTATTACTTCCACTCGCACATCGAATCACCACAAATCATACTTTCTGGGGAGGGTCGAAAGCAAAACATTGTTGTTTCCATAAAAAGAAAAAAAAAGGACCCCCACACACACAATGAAAACAAATTTCTTTCAAACATGCAACAATATTAATTCCACAGCTCAGAAACACACGCCGAAAAGCGCACATGGCAAAAAAAAAAGCAAGAATTGCAGAAAAATAGTCGGAAAAAGAAAAGGAATTGGCCGTGGGTGCCGGCGTGATTCACAGCAACAACAAAATGACTTGTTGTATTGATGTGGTCATATACAAGAATGCATCCATGGGGCAACGGCAGTAAAGAGAAAACTGCTTTATTACCCCATGCCACGGGAGGAAAAGAAGGGCCAGACCTTTCTCCAATTGATCTTAGGACAGTTGATTCCCAGCAGCCGACACATTTTCTCAAGTAGACTCGGTTCACGTTTCCTGCGATCATCATGTTTTTTTTCTGCAGGAGCAGAGGTGTCATCCATCCCTTTTTCCTCCCTCTTATGGGGGGTGTCAATTTCATCTTGGTTCTCCTCATGTGCGCTCTCGCCAGGGGATGTATCAGACAGCTGGGAACATACGTCAACGGCCCTTGGGCATAAAATTTGGCCTCCAATGAACGGCAACTTTGGGGTCAGTGACGCGCCTTCTGGACACAAGTGCCACGCATCATTACCAAGGTACCGAACACGGACAGTCCCCGCCTGGCACGACACCTCCGCGCAGATGTCACCAATACGCCCGTGAAATTCCATCTCAAGCGAATTGCCCTTCAGACACAACGATTGTGGACCCACACGGCTCCCAGGCATCAAGAAAGAG